TCGTCTCAGGCGAATGTATTTTGTGCAAGGAGCTTTAAATCAGTGTGAATGGCGAGTAACAGAATTGTGGAACCAGCTTTTTCGAAAATGTGTGGAAACTATGGAAGAATCATATCAGAATTTACGTGAGCGTATTGGCTCAAGTATTGCTACCATTGTATGGTTTGATCTAACTCATTTATACATTGATCCACGAATCCCGAAGAAATTTCATCCAATGAAAATTGATAATGCAATGGGCGAAATTAATGCAAAAGTATGCTTTACTGGAGCTTTTTGTTACTTTTACTGGCATATAAATTGCTGCCACAGTGTTTTTTCAGTGATTTTTTTATCTGTACTAAGTATTAAGATTTTATCTGAGACATTTTGAAAAACAATGAAGAAATAGAATTAAGGGACATTGGATGAAAATTTGATTGGAGAAAAGATTTGTCGAAGTTACCATTTTTGTAAAGAAACAATGTTTTGCTGGACATCCTAATCGATAGGTGCGACTTTCACAGTCTGCATATGTCAAAAATGACGGAGGGGAGAAAAGTTAAGGTAGATTGCTTTTATATGTCTTACTGACATAATTGGAAGCATTCGATTCCCGCCTTGAACTGCAGCAAATACCGTGTTAAATGCAAAGTGCTATGAAATTGAATTGGAGGGTTATCGTAAGATTGATTAAACAAGTAGTGCCGCGATATGTTTTATTTTTTTTTGCAGTTGGAGCTTCTGTGGTCTGAAGTCGCTGCTGCGAAAAGAGATGGTAACGAAATGGACGATGTTTGCACAAATGGCACCATGGAAATTAATGGTGAAGGGAACGGTCGGAAAAAAGTGTGCCAGTTTTTTTCATAAAAAAACATCGATTAAAATTTTCCCTAATGAGGGAATTCAATCATGAAAACAAGCAATTTCTCTACATTTTCAGTTTCGGGGAAGAGATTTTCAGTGAATTATTAGGAAGAAGTTAATGTTTTGCTTAAATTATCACCATTTTCAGGCAATTATGACATTTAAATGTGCTTTAAATTATTTAAATGCGCATTGGGTGCATTCGTTTACTGCCTTACCGCCTGCTATTTTCAACGTTTTGCCACTACTTATACATTTTGAAAATGAAACAAGGTATTTTACTTATTTGCTAGAACAATATTTTTTGCTTATTGATAACATGTAATTTGGGCCATCAAAGCGGACAAAAGCATTCCTGCAAATTTCATTAAAATCAGAAAAATAGTGCAAATTTTGTGCTCTCAGTTCTGGTGTCAGAAATCATCAATAGCCAACTAATATCTCTCCTTTTAGGCTAATGAACAAAACAAACAGTTTGACTAATAACGGGATTATGGAGAAATAAAACTGTTCATGATTACGACATTGTTACTTCAAAATCAAAATTCTTTTCAGCGATGAAGAATTGAAAAATAGTTGCCATGATCAGCTGCGTCAGGGGATGTCACAAACATTAATTGTGGCGAAGAATGTAGAAATGGTTTTATGTGGCGTTAAGGAGGTCAGTATCGTCATGTCCTGGTAGCTGTAGGTACTTAGTCCTAGCTGCTAAATTCACATGTTGTGAGCAGTTAAATATACAATTTACATTAGAGAATAAATTAATTTCCAATATTATATACGTGAATTATTTCCTTATAATCTTATAATGTACCCATTTCAAGGTCGCTTCTGACTTTCTACTTAACAATCCGAATTTAAATACATTTATAATTGATTTAAGTAACTCATATATATATATATATATTGAGAGTTAATTGGTCCTCACCCAAATTAATTGATCCCCTGTATTTTTCCAATTGCAGTTAGCTTCATCCGCTGCTTCATGGTGGAAGCCGAAAGTTTCGCTGCTGAAGTATTTACAAGTTGCTGTATTCTCCAATTTCTTCCTTTTCTTGCATCATCGCCCATTGTTGCAATCTATACTCTGCTCCATGATACTTGATCCCAAGTTTGAAGTGCGTGAAGCTGCTGCTACAACACTGTCGGGTCTTATTCATTGTCACTTCTTCGATGTTGATCACCTGATTATTGTAAGTTGTATGTTTGTGTGTATTCATTTTATCTTTCTGAAAGCACTAATTGAATTCCTTGGCGAGTAACAGTGATCCATTCTATTAGGAAATGTATTAAGCTATTAGAAAATAACTTTTCGACTTTGTATGCTTTTCTAAATAATCTGAGCAGAATTAAGTCTTCAGGAAAGATTTTACGATTGGTCTCGGGAGGAAAACGGTACAAAACGACATGCGGGTGTCTTAGCCCTTTCTGCGGTTGTTCAGGCGTTTCCATATACTGTCCCACCTTTCTTACCGAAAATATTGATGCAACTCTGCCGTCATACTTGTGATAAACAACCCATGCAAGTAAGCTCTTTCGTTTTTTCCTGATGTCAAGAGATATAGGGAAATTCTTCTTCAAATTGAGCTCCTTAAGTTAGTTAATTTTTTAATTTTTGTAGTGATTCGCCTTGGAGAAACGCTTTCGCCATGTGTATTTAAAATGCAGTTGCATTCTTTGCCGATATTACTGCTATTTTAATAAATGTGGAACCGTTCCGCAAACATGATTGTTTAAATTTATTCTGTCGAGATGATGCATCCGTATAGAAAGTCACGTAATTTGTTGGCTTTTAGCTAGTTCGAAACAAAAAATTCAAAAAAACTGTTTTTGAATGCCAATTCATCTTAATCTCTTAAATCAAGTAATAAAATAAAAAGGGATGTTTTCAAACACCGAGACTCATTTTTGGCTTGATAATCATTTTAACAATTGTAAAGAGATTGTTTTCAGGGTACAGTGAAAAAGGCATTAAGCGAATTCAAGCGTACTCATCAAGATAGTTGGCATGAACACAAGACGCAGTTCAGTGAAGATCAGCTTTCCATCCTAACGGATCTGTTCGTTTCACCCAATTATTACGTCTAAGTTCGTTGACTGAAAATCAGGAAATACTTGGAAGTGTAGGTTGTTTGTTTAGCTATTTGAAATTTTGAAATCATCAGTGAACTGGGTTGAAGCTGAAAGATGTTGGTCTCGCTTTTAGATTTTCTGTCAGAATTATTGTGAATAATTTTTTTCATTATCATTAAATAAATCTTGATATGAAACTATTCCAACATTACTTGGAAACGCATCATCAGTTCAAAGTTTATTATACTGCAGTTAGGGTTTTACATTCTGTTGCTTAGGTGTCGTTTAGTTTTATTGGGCCGGCTACATTTCTCTTACTTCCTTTTTCTGTGTCATCATATATTTTAATGTGATGATCCAGATACAAATCAAATTCATCCCTGGTACTACGGAATCAAATTTGATTGCTAACCATAAAAAGTGCTGTAATGTTAGAGGTTGATTTATTGCTCCAACCACTTAAGGATTTTAAGCTTCATTTTTGAATGATGCTATTGCTGAGACTTGAACTAAGCTATCAGTCTGTAGTATTACCAGCAAACGATGGCGTACACACACGTATGAATTCGTGTTTTCATGTTTTTGCTATGATATACTATATCAGTATGGATTAAGTTTTATGAAGTTATGAGAAAAGATTGTGCTTCTCATTCGATCCTGTGGAGTTAGGAATATGGGAGCCGGATTTCAAATTTCATGTTAAATGAATGATACTCACTGTAATTTGTTTCTTTGTTTATGAAGCTGTGATCATATTGCGATATGTTTAATGGACGTTCTTCATTTTTCTACTGCTTTCAATGGAAAAATCTCTTCCTTTAGACTTATTTCTTGTTTTTGGGGTTCCATGTCGAAAATTTCGTGCTCGAAGTACATCTCTTTTGTTTCCATTTTCCGCATTTTTCTGATGCTAATACTGTTACACAAAAATCTCACAGATCGTAGGATGAATAGTTACGGTATTCCTGTTATCCGGCTTCTTTTTTTTAGCGAATGCATAGATGGAATTTGAATATTGCAGTTCTTTATCTTCTAGTCTTTTCTAAGCTTTCTTCATTACAATGAAACTTCGTATGGTATATGGTATGAATGGGTATGAATTATTGACTGTATAGCTTTTCATGTGAAATCTGTGAAAACTCTTATGAATATAACATTGCAGAACATTTGGCATTTGCCATATAATCTTTGATCATTATTTTTATGCAGAGAAAGAATAGAAAATTGAATTTATTTTTTAAGCGAATAATTTGGTTTAATAACTACAAGGAATAATTCACGATGATATTTTTGCTTATCAAATGTCATTCTGTTTGCCTTACCATTTATTAACAATGTGTCAATGTTTGTTTCATTCGTTCCTGTGATCTTTTTTGTTTATCTGAAATTGCATTCAAGTAAAGATTAAATTAACAATTTTAAAAAGTTTTCACAGTGTTGGAAAAAAATTCACTTTTTTCAAAAATTATTTGACCTGGTTTTGAACCAGGATTTTAAGCGGCAATTTTTTTTTAAATTTTAGAATTTTTTTTTTAAGTTTTAGAATTTAATACAATTAAAAGTAGATGGAATCCAAAAGCTCTGAAGGGTTTCCGCGATCATCATGCGCCAAGTTAGGTTCGAGAAATTTTTTGTAGCATTTGCAATTCGTAGTAGTAGGAAATACATAAATAGAAATATGTAAATATTGCGAAGCGTGATAATATGTCGCTTTAACGATTTTTAACTCAATTCTGAAATTTGCCATACAAATGATGACTTTCATTCTTTATAAGATCTGCAAAGTATATCATCGGGGATTTTGAATTCTTTAATGCCATTGATTTCAGTTTTGGGGATACTGTATCGTGTGAATTTAGGCAGGTCTTGGAGTTTTTGTCTTGATATCAGATAGAGTTTCCCCTTAAGGCTACTATGAATTTATTCCCGAATTTTTCTCAAAACTGTCATGTATCGAACTTTTGTTGAATTCGAAGTGCTCATGCTGTACTTAGATATTAGTTTTCCGTTTAGGTGATTTTTCATAATATACTGTGAAATTACTGTTTGGAAAATGTCCTCGAGAGAATGATGGTGTAGCAATGGAAATTCAAAATGTCGTTCGCGCTTGGTTAGCATTCACTATACTGCAGCTTGCTGGTAATCTTCAGCAATGTATCCAGCCGAAAACCTTTTCAGAAGTTTTGCTACGCCCTAAAACTGAAGCTATAACAGGTTAATTACCGGACGAGATCAACTCTTGATATGTGTGTGCAGTGATGATTGTAAAAATAAACTTCACGCTTGCTGCAACTGACGTACGTCATATTTTACTCATTTACCCCCACTTGCTATCTATCTGTATTTGCATAATTTTTAGATGTGCTATTTTTAGATATAGCACCTATCGCAGCATCATTTTTTGTCCATTACTGGACAATATTACTCTTGCGCCTCTTCGTAATTTATTATTTCGATTGTATTCCACTTCACGTGTTGCATATAATTTGTTCGACAACATCGACTGCCTTCCTTTGCTTCGAAATTTTCTACACCGAACTGTTGAAGAAATCAGCTGCTCTATATATGCAGATTGCTTTAACCGGTTAGTCTGCTGAAATCTGCATCTTTTAGGATTTACGTTGAATTAAAGAGAAATAAGCTCCGATATGGATGCCATGGAATACAGATAGATATAACAAACCAAAATGAATACCAGCCGTTTATAGGTTGCTGAAACGATCATCAGAAACAAGAAAAAAAACTCTATTTTAAGGGATAAATTGTAATGGAAGTTTGAAATTGCAAACCCATTCAACTTTTTCTACAATAATTCATATCATTCTCGTTTTAAGGCTTTACGGTATTAATTGTAATATGTAGCTGGAAGTATCTGTTCGTAGTTAATGGGAAGCAAGAAAAAACACGAAGGAAACCGGTCGCTATGCACATGATGGATTTGAAGAAACGTAAATAACCGATTTAATGCAGCTATTGTTTATTTATACTCCGAACAAATAAGGGGAATAGAACAAGGAAAACAACACCCTGATTCTGCAGTTTGATCATGCTTAATATGAAACTCACATATTTTAATTCTTCTTCGCTAGTCCGAAATCTTTTGATTTTAGTGCGTAAACGGTTTATATGAACATTGATAATATTCCTTCTTTCCTTCGCTTTCCGTTTCAATATTTTATCTTTTCTTTCGTCCTATTTCTTTTATAAAGCAAATGAAGAAAATGGAGGCATTTTCTCCATTTGCTTGATTAAAAATTGTTATAAAATCTGAAGATCACAGTCTTTATTCATATTCAGCAAAACCTAAAAATTTCTTTTAGGATGTGAAAACCGCAAACATGTGTCGGAAAGAACGATATAAATTTCCTGATAGTAGCCAATGAATTATTCCATTTAATCCATTTGCCTAATAGAAGAACAACGGTTTGAAGTTCTAGATCGTGGTCGACCAACAAAAAAAAGTGTCCTTTCAACTTCAGTGAAATTTATAGTCCCTTTTATGCTTGTGGAGCTCAAACACTACTTTCAGTTCAATGATAAGGTATCGAGATCAGACTGCAGTATACGGTGTTTTTCCTTTAGGAGATAAAGGAGACAAGAAACTATATATAGGATACAATTTCCAAAAAAGGCATCTTATTCTTTTTCATCAGAAATTTCAACATATGCTTGTTGTATTTTCCAAAAGGTTTTCTTCTTTTTCCAGCACATTTTCCATAGTGTCGGACTCTTCTGTCTAAAAAAAAGTATATTTAGATAAGGAGTTCTTTTCCTTTTTCAATTTCAATGGCAATGGGTTTTCCGCGAGACTTCTGCTGAATTTTCATGGACTTACATTTTATTTGCTCGGAACTTTTTTATCGGGAAGAATAAAAGTATCAGCTATAAAACATTTTCTCTTTAAAACTAACACGCTGTAACTTAAAGGCGAATGTATTCGAGCTTACAAGTAATTATAAGATTTACGTGATTTCGTGCTGATTTAGCCACTCGTATCCGACGTTTGATAATTACAGTTTGGCCTGGCTTAATGCCTACTGCTTCAACAAACGGTCGAGGTAAATGTTGCAATTTCATACGTTTTTTCGTACCAGTTACAGGATTCGTGAACATCACAATGTTTGGTATGTCATCTTTTGATGGCCTTTTCTCCACTTCTTGGATCTCCGGTAACAAAGTTTTTTCCGACGAATAGTTTTGCGGATTTTTGATAGTACCCTGATCAGTTTTTCATAAAGAAATTGGTAAATTCGTGATGTTTTTTGTTTTCTTTACCAAATCGTGTGAAATTGCGGTCAAAAAGCCACTGAGAAACATTTAACGAAATAACAGAACTGTTTAGAATTTAGTTCGATTAAAATAAGGATAGGAAAAGTAACCTTAGATTCACCTGAAGATAATGCGAGCTTTCGCCGTTTTCGTAAAATTGATGGTTTGCATGCATGCAAACGTTCAGAGCGTTCCGGTCGTGATATAGAGGGCTAGAATCATAGCTTAGTTCAATTTTTTATCGGTTAAAGTCCTAATACACATGCTTTTAATGTTTAATTTTCATTCATTCCTATATTACTGTCATGGTGCAAATTACCATTTCATGAAGAATGATCATCCTATATTTCAATAAATTATAGCAGCCATCAGAACTCCTGCAAATTAAAACTGCTTTATTAGGAAGGAAAGTATTATTACTGGGCGATGGAATCGCTTACAAAAAAATGGGATAAATGTGGCCGATGTATCTTATATTATATATGGAGTCGATCGTAATGATATGCTTTTAAGAGTAACCCGCATATGTAATTTCATAATATATTAGGATTAAAAGCAATGGAATGAAATGGAACGTTCGAAATACGCACCATTTCATCGAAATCATCATCATTAGCAAGACTTTCAAGATATGTTAACGTCTTGGCAACGGGCTGTGATATCGAACGTTGTAAAAATAAATGGGGAGCGAAATCTTCATGTGACGGATCGTTCGATGGTCGACCTTGTCGAAAATGTATACTACATACCTGCAAATCAGGACAATTAATAATAAACTAACAATGAGTGGATATATTAATTATTTCGTTTAATGAAGGACGACATGACCTGAAATGATACGAGCTTCGTATCACATTTCAAATCTTGAAAAGAATATTTCCGAATATCGGAAGCGAAGTATCAGTAATTAAAGTTTTGAAGGCTACGAAATTTTAACTTTTTTTGCTGGAAGTAACGTACTACCAAAGATCATACATGGTAGTCTTAATTGTGGTAGATGAAAACTTCCAAAAATAAAGGCTAAGTTGCTTGGTTCATCATTTCGTGGATATGGAGATAATTTGATTCTTACAAATAACACAATCGGTAATACTAAGTGATATGACTTGGAATGGTGTTATATATTACGAAAACCTATATTCATGCGGAGGGTTAAGTTATAATTCAAGCTAAGTTACGGTTAAAACTCGGGACTAAGTTTCGGACTTATTCTTGATCAGCAAGAATGTGTAACTACTGCCGTATATTAATCGGCAAGAATAATATGATGGTTACAAACTAAAAAGATACAGAAGTCTGTGGAAGTTTGCCTATGGGTGCAGAAGAGAACTTGGAGCAATCTTATTGATGGTTCATAATGTCAGCAACAAAGATTGCTGGAACATACTGTTATGGGATGAGCAAACCTTGTCTTTCGGTGACAATTCTCGATCACCAATAGCACATAACCATCTCACGCGCTTTAAGCCTGGTTCACGTGGAATTCCGTAAAATCTCAATGCTGGACCACTCGTACGTCGATACCAACCACAGAAAACACACTTTTCCATCGCCTTTAAAAAGGAATATCTTAAATTTTAATGAGCGATGGCAATATTGATTGACTAACCGATTTGACGATACCTTATTTTATTGATGAAATTCCATAACCAGAACAGAAGCGGACAGCGAAAATTCTACGGCAAACGTTATAATAAAACGCTATAATAGTACCTCTTTCGGTTCACGGTGCTGTTAAAGTCGATCTATTGTGATGTAAAAGAAGCTGAGAAATATATGAAAATTTATGTTTTCCGTAATACCACTGTTATGTTTCAATTTTCGAACCGTTCGACAGGTCAAACAAATTGTAGGCCGAGTTTTTTAAAACCTTTTAATTTTAGATCTTGTCACTTTTTAATAGATAATTGAGTGAACATATTAACATAGTATATCATGTTTTATGATAATGCTACGATATGCTTCATGAAGTGTTAATTATCTTCTTTTCCCTTAACGTGATATATTTGGTTAAAATGTGTTCTTTTAAAAAAATTATTATTTTAGATTTTGTTTAGAAACATGTTTAAAAATTTTCGAAGACTGAACTTTTTTCACACGAACAGGAAGGAAAAATTATGAGGTGTCGGTAATACTCGTCTTTTTAAGAAATATTGTTATTACTGCCACTAACATATTTCGACATCATACAACCATATATCAGGAAAGTCGCCACTTCAAACTACCATACATCAATATAACCATAGATGAGGATGCAGTCGCGGCCTGCCATCTCGAACTAATTCTCTTCGATATAACCATACCTCAAGATCTGTTCATCACCACCATTTCAAAACTGCCATAATCGTGCATCACATGTCCTATCTTTGACTCTAGTTTTTTTAGAGGTTGAGAACTATTAGCTGATCAAAGCCAGTCTGTTCCATCACCGTTTGCCAATGTGCTTGATATCGCAGATTATATGATATGCATTATATGATATGCAGATTATATGATATGATATGCAATGTGCGTGATATCGCAGATTATATGAATTTTCTGCTCTGTCGGATAAGTTTGAATTAATACTGGACGAAATCTTAGAATTCGTGATGTATACAGATAATACAGTTTCTTTCCAGTTACCCGCAACTTTTTATGCCTCTCAGTCATGTACAAAGTACTGCCAGTTTACTTATAGATTATGTTATGGTATTTTTAACGCTGCATTTTATATCATACCTCTGATTAGATTTATCATCCTTTCTCCTTCTCTTGCTCTTTCTTCTCTCTCTTTCCATTTCTTTCCATTCCATCATTTTTTCATCATACCGATACGTTACTGTTCAATTTTTTTTGCAATAATAAAACTTCTTCACGTCTTTATTATTATTATTATTGTTGTCATTATTATTATTAATTGTTATTATTATTATTAATTGTTATTATTATTATTAATTGTTGTTATTATTATATCTATTATTATTAATTATTATTATTAATTATTATTAATAATAATAATTATTATTAAAATTATAAATCATAAATATTTTAACTGAATATAATGATTTTAATAAAACGTTCACGTGCGTCATATATTGTGTGAGACGTTTTTTCTCCTTCATCTGCTACATTTTAGAATATTTTTGAATAGAAATCATCTGGTAGCAAATTGAAATTTCTTTACATATTTGCAAAAGCGAATGGAAGAATAAATTTGAAGGAATATTTTGAATAGAAAATAGAAATAAATTGTTCTACTCTACGTTTATTTGCATCTTTTTACTATCTGTTTATATTCCAAACTTCGAAAATATAATTTCTTCCTCTCTAAAAAAATTTTTCTACCTTATTTGCGTACCTTTTATTATCTCTATTTCTACTTTATGTTTTTAAATGTCTGCAGAGACATTTTTCTGTTTGATGTCGTTTCAAACTGAAGTAATAATAACAGTCCATCAGATGGTCATACAAGTTTTTGGGTCATTGTAATGCCGTAATTTCTTGACATTTTTATGACTAGAAATGTCATCCAACAGATGGATCTCGGTTCTCTTTATCCTTTAAATCTATTTGTTGACTTTAATTTTTCTAGTTGAATGATTTATCCGTATATTTGTGCTGAGAAATGTTTTTTAAAAATCAATTAATGTCTTGCACTCTAGAATTTTCTTGAGATAATAAACGTACAATTCGTTGTTACAACATTGTGTCGACGACAATGCTGATGGTTAATTACTATGCCTTTCTTCTCTGCATATCATGGGTACAGAAGGTTTTGTGAAAAAATAATGGAAGTCGAAAAGTGCAACATCTGCGATAGAACATTTCATTTTTGTGATTGTCATCCGACTCGATATGCGCAATACTGCAAAACAGATCGTTGAGCTTTTCAGTAATATCCTTTTTTGGCCTATTCCAATAACGCAATGGTCGTGGTTTCTCCAACTTGAGATATTAGAGAAGGCTTGCCTCCGTATGTATAGTTCATAAATGTTGAGATGATTTTCGGGAGAATGTTACAAAATCTTCATATTCGTTACAAAAGTTAGTAAGCCTTCGGCTTTCTTGACAGAATTTGTTGTTTTCAAAATTACAGATCAACATAACGAAAGGTGTGATTACAAGTTGCGCCCTTCCCTTTCTTGCTTTTTGGCATATTTTCCGAAATTTGTTTAAAATGAACAGGTTCCTTTGTTTTTTTGCCCCTTAAACTTATTTTTTTCTTGAATGATATAGATAAAACAATAAAGGAGAATTGCTCATTTGCAATTGTCTTTCCAGTCTTCTTAAAATTATCCAAAAAAAGGAAATGAAAAATAGATTGGAATAAATATTCATTTGATATTCATTTAGTTTGATTAAATAGATTGATAGCGTTGGGTATGAATATATCTGAATGATAAAACAAATGATAACATGATTATCCTCAAGTTTCCTATTTATTTGACCGTCATTATCACTAATTTAATTAAATTATTAATGCTTTATTATTTCATTAATACTTCTTTATTATTCCTTTTTTCAGCGGGTATTTTGTTTTGGCTTTTTTGGTTGCCGTTATTGCTATTGCCATATTCATTGTAACACCTTCTTCAATATTTCATTGTGAACGCTTTGAGTAAGTTTTGAAATTTTTCCAAAAAAGTTAAATAGAGATTGAGGATAATGAGGGGAAGATTGTGTAATGATTTGAAAAATTGATCTTTTATCAATGTATGGAAGTATATTGAAGTTATTGAATAGTTAAACTCAAATTCGGTAATTCATTAATTCTAATTATTATTTTAGGTAACATTTGGACAATTTTACCCATAAATAGTTCATTAATAATCACTTTTCAATGTAAGCTTTCTTAGACTCTGATTCAGGGGAGAATTAAGTAAATGATTAGATATAACATCCTAGCAATTATTAGCATTTACAAATTACTTTAGATTGATGAAGCCGCCAAAGCTAGAAGGTGTTTTAGCGGTGAATAGTATATTAACAAAAGCAGATTATCTTTTGGAGCATAAAATTTTCGGGCCAGAATCAATTATTGTAGAAAAAGGTTAGTTGAAGTGTATCAAAAATCGCTCTGATTTTAATGGAATATTTCAAACGATGCTATTGAGACTATTTCTCAGGCATATTGTTAATCGAAGACTTCCTTCTTTCAGTTTGTCATTCTTCAATTTTAAAGCTACCAGAAATTCTCTTTTTTGTTCCAGCTTTCGGATATTGCTATTGTCATCGTTTATTATTATTGTTTACTTTTATTATTAATTGTTATTATTCATCAATATTATTAATCATTGGACCCTGCTTCATAAATCGATCGTTCCCTTCTTTCTCGTCTAATTTTATTTCTAGATAGTATTAAAACAGGGACGCAAAACGGAATGCTAATTGCCGTCGAATATGAAATTATTCGGAAAACTTCTAGATTTGGATCAGTCAATCCCGATCTATGCGGTTATTTTTATTTCTTCCTGGAGAAAAGTTTAAATAAATAAATTGTCGAAGTGTAGATGTTGTTTGAGGTTCTGTCATCTCATTCGTAGCAAGTGTTATTTTTTTTAATATCCAAGATGAGATAGTAAAGCGATGGTTTGCTGCTAAAGAAATGGAACTTCTATAAATGCCAACAAATGAAAGAAATTTGTTATATATTAAAATTTGCTTTTATACTTGAACCTAACTCGTAAATTTTTACTCTTCTCAAGTAAAGTTCTCTAATAATTATCTCGTGTTAAGATGGTGGGTTTGATATGGAACCGAAATGTGGTCGACCGTTAGGTCTTCGTCAATTAGATGCTGAAAATATATTAGCCATTGATACTCACCTTGGCATTTTTTCCGTAAATTTTGAAAAAGGTAATCTATATATGGTTTTATAATTATTATATTAATTTTTATGGAATTTTACTCTGAATTCATTCATTTAATTATGATTGTACGTCGCACAATGATATATATATAATAAAAAAAATCTTGACCATCGATCCATCCCGTCAAATCATCTTTTTAAATGATCTACATCATTATCAAACTCCATAAATTCATGTAAACTTTGAAAATGAAAGAAATTTCCTTTTAGCAAAAATGCTCTTTATATGTGAAAGAATGATTAGAACATAGCCTAAAGTCGGTTGAAAAGAAAAAGATTTGACTTGAAAGTTTAAGCAATATCAGATATATTATATAATGCGAGGTTCTTGATGTAAACTGTTGGCCATTAACTTGATATTTAACAAAGATGAGAGTAAGTGCTTCATCTGCTTCTTATTGAAATAGCTAGTTCTATAAATCATTTAAAAAATAAAAGAATATCGTATATAATTATAGTTTAAGGGCAGCACACGGTAGTATTAAGAAATCAAATGGAAGTGGATGGCAAATTAATGAAATTCTTAAATGATATTGATGTAGTAAATGAAGACGTGCTGATATTTACGGATTCTTCCAGCAAATGGGATCGACGCCATCTGATGAATATTTTGTTAGAGGGTATTCCTAATGGAAGGTAATTTTTGACTCATTTAATATTAAATTAATCAATAATGAAAAATGATGAAAATTTGACAGTAAGTCTTATTTAGCAATGTAATAAACTATATTCCGAAATATCGGCTAAGTTTTTTATTGTTCATTTGTGGAGATGGAAATGGTAACATATATAATAAACAAGTTTGTATAATTGCAATCTATAAATTAAAAGTAAAATTAATAAGAACGAAATTATAAATTATGATTTTGACTGAATTAAAAACTAAAAGAATAACTCATTTGTTTTCAAATGTGCGACGTACTCATTTCTTTTTTTGGAGAAAAAATTAAAAATTAAAAAATAGTGAAAAGGCAATGCCTTTTTCAGAGTTTTGCGTCTAACACGATCAACTGGAAAAATTGATGTAATTATGGATAAATTGTATTTCCCGAACGGTATTCAGCTGTTTCCTGACAAACAATCATTTCTGGTCTCTGAAACAGGTGCTGCTCGGATTAAAAGGTAAAATTTTCTTTTACATTGCAGTTTCAACTAGCGCTTGATAGGAGCAATATAGTTAAATTCTCAAGTGTAGAATCTAATTAGCCCTTCGCTTGTTATTTTTTTCTTCTTTAAATAATGAAAGGAACTTGAAATGGTCGATAGTATTCAAAAACGTGTAATTCATATGAAGATACAAGATCAACGTCTTTGTCCGTGCAATGTATAAATATTTGCAGGCACTGGATTGCGGGCCCACGAATGGGTGAAACGGGAATTTTCGTTGATAATCTACCTGGTTTACCGGATAACATACGTCCAGGTAGCAACGGAACATTTTGGATAGGTTTCGCAGCGGTACGCCATAGTGATCAGTTCTCATTGCTCGATTACCTCGCTGATAAACCGTACATACGAAAATGTATTCTTCAGGTGACAGTTGTAGATTTTATAAGGATGAAATTTCTCTAAGGTTTAAATTGAAATAGATTGGCTCGGACAAATCTGTTTTCCTGAAAGAACTGTAAAAGGTTCACCTATATAGTCTACATTATCTTTGAGCATATCAAGGATGGCCAGTAATCAAAATTTCGTTTAGCTGGTACCGGAACGACAATGGGAATGGCTATTATCAATGTTTGCTACAAAACATGCGCTAATTTTGCAGCTCAGTGAAGAAGGGCAAATAATAGCTAGTGCGCATGATCCAACGGGACAAGTAATTAAGGAAGTGTCACAAGTGACAGAAGCCAATGAACACCTTTATTTGGGCAGTTACCGTGCTCCATTTATTGCTCGTCTGCGCAAGGACCTCATCGTTTACTAAACATACATGAACCTTTTTCTTAACTTAAAGTTATTTTGGCTTTCATCAATCTATGATAAGGAGGATTTCCGGAGACAACATATATCTACTAAGATCATATATCTACTAACACCGTATATGAAAGTTACTATGCTGTAATAACCATATTTACAATTTAATATAAAAAAGGAAACCTTCATAGGCCTTTTTAATATATATTAACAGATCTTTTCCATGTAAAAAGCGCAATAGTTCCAGCTAGCAAGATCCCAATTCATTTCATTAAACAATATTTCCCTTACAATTCACTTTGTTTTACCTTACATGGCTCGATTGTTTCGTTCAATTTTTTCCGTAAATATTTCTGACTTTATTATGGATCTTATCATTTTCTTTTTTGCAGTACTTGTTTCTGCAGGGACGAGATAAATATTATCTTAATGTATGTTGATTCGTATAGAAGTTTATATCGAAAAACACGACATTAATTTAGCAATCTTAACTGAACAATGTTGCATTTTTATTTCTTATTGATTTTTCAATAACGAAAATTTTTTGTTTTATTATATTTTCTTTTAAAATAAAAAAAAAAAAGAGAAGTAATAAGAAACTGTCAAGATATTAAGCGAAGAGACTGGAGAGGACAGAAACCTTTATAATCCTCGCTAGCACTGTCGTAATTTTTACTCACTTTTCTTTTTCTATATTATATTTTTCCCTACAACAAAACATGCAAATTCTGAATAGCGAAATTAAATTCAGTTTACGAATACAGTTGACCATAAGAACTGTTCATTTATTGATAGTATTTTTAGGCCACTGACAATTTCCATTCACGATATCAAGGTTTTTTTATCAGGTTTGTAAAGGAATGGTATAGTAATTTGATGACTATCATCGTAAATCTCTTCGAAAAATCACAATGTGTTTTTCAGTTTGAAATTATCCTGGATGGAGTTATCAAATAGTTTTCGTAGATTTCTTAATGAATAGAACGCAAAAAAAAAAACAAATATGAAGAAATGTTACCTTCATCTTTTTATTGTCAATGATTGACAAAAAGTAAATACTAGCGGAACAGCGAAAGACTGACAGAATATGCCTACCAATAGTCTTCTTATTTGATGCGAAGATACATTTATCAATTTTTCTTTTTCGTTCTCTTATCAAACAAAAATTAGAACATTTTGATAAGCATCAGCAAATTAAGAAGATATATATAAATCATAAGCAAGAAAAGATTTAAAAAACTTCAAGTTATAAGAGCTTCACAGATATTTTTACAAAAGATGTTGTTTAAAATATATTTACCGTAGATATGTTTACCAAAGAGATTGTTTAATTCAAAATTAAAAACTAGCGGTGAGCAGCAGAAGAGAGAATAAACTGTATAAGTTTCCCTGTTAAAACGTCAAAATCATTCGCAATCATCGCATCACAACTATTAGAAGGGAAGGATAACGATTATCGTCGATTTTTAGAAAAGAAGGATAACGATTAGCATCGGTTGGAGAGCCTTTGTTTTTGATATTGCACCGCAGAATAATCGAAGCTATTTAGAGATTATGCTCGTTTTGGCGTTAAATCCGGAAAATTTGAAGCAAGTAGTAGACTTAGGATTTTCTATATATTCTGAATACCCAAATATATTATATTTTAATGTACAAATAAAATAATGGTAATATATCTTGGAGGTCATACTTTCATGACATGCAGTGGGTGGGAAAAAATCCCAATAAAAGATAACTAATGAAGATAAGCTCAACAGAATACTGTCTTTGTCCTATTTCTTGATTTTGTTTTTCTCGACTTTCGAGATCTTCTGCTACTTGCCCAATCTTCATCATCGTCCGCAGCTGTATGATGTGAATCCTCCTGAAATTAAATCTCTCAAACTCATGTTGCTTGAGCCTGGTCATCTAAGCTATCTTTTTGACCACTTCACTATTAAAGAGTAAGCTTAAGTTTTCAAGACGATTTTCTTTAATATCTATTATCTCCCGAATGAACATAATTTACTATTTGATCACTATTTCGGACTATAGAACATCCATTGCACGATAGCCTTCTGTAATAGTACAGCTTATCGAAGGTGGACTTCGAGAAGGAGTTAGCTAAGAGTAGCCAACCGAAAATTAAGATGAGATATCGATGTGCCAAGTCTTCTCAACATGCTCGATTTAGAAACATATACTACGCCTTAGCACTATTTAAAAATTTAACAGGATACAATTAAGAGAAATAATAATTTTTTTCGCAATGATCAGGATAAAGCTAAAATGTTATGTTACTGTTAATAGACTGCTTATAATAACTTACATCAGAGTGATCCACGTCACTGTCTCGACCAGAATATTCACGTAAACGACCTGCTGAAAGAGAAGCCTTCATTGAATTGTTGTAGTTAATTGTTTGGTTTATGCGACGTCTTGCAACCCTGAAGAAATGAACATAAAGGCTAACCGCTTCTATTAGCACCTACTTTCACAAACTAATATAAAATTTCTGTCCTATAATTAAACTAATAAAATTTCGGCCTTAATAAACTTTTGTATGTTTACTAGTTTTCCTGATATTCAGGAGACGTGGTGTACTGAATCACTCAAAGTGAATGTGATGGCAGTTGCGATATAGAAATATTTGATTCTTTCGATCAGCTGAATTCCCACATAGAAATTATATTGCACAGAAAGGATGAAAGCAAATACAAAGCAACCACACAAACAACTAATTCCTCCTCTCTTTGAAAGATGTCGATGTATTACGCCAGTCTCTAATTGTAAAAATATGCCGATAATAATTACACTTTAGAATAACTTCTAAAAACATCATATGGTATCCTACCACAATAAATAGCAAACAACAACCAAGATTAACTTCTTGATCCATTTAAACTGACCTAAAGATTAACCGCTTCAATTTAAATCAATTTTCTGTCTGTACCACAAATATAAAAAAATAGACTGATAAACAATCGCAGTATCACTTAATGATACTACAATAACTGCAGCGCTCCATCACGAACTATAATCAATACATACCGTGAGCTACTTCGTCCCATACCCATGCACTTTTCAAGATGTGGAGCAAAACGGCTTGCTGCTATAGGCCGTTTGCATTCGTCACATACAACATCCATATTTTTTTGATGCTTCGTTTGCGAAATTAATGAACTTCCGAAAATATCATATTCACCTACTATGGTAGGTTCATTTTGCATATCTGAAATAAAAAAATGATGTAAATTGGAATGTTATATTAATTAGATGGAAAATGTAGAATTATTCCGGAATATATAGTTATAACTATTTATCTCTGCTCTTCTATGAACATATTCAGAAAAGAACATTTCAGAAACATAACTAAAAATGAAACTGAAAAAGACTTATCCATTTTTTTTGCTTAAAAACAATCAAACTAACCAATTGGCGGTGGCAACACAGCATTTGTAATTTTGGCAATTCGATGAACTTTGAAACAAGGCTCCAGTAAAACTGTTCCTAATAAGTAGTCGAATACTTGTTCACTCATTTCTATAAGATTGGACTTCCACTAATCATAAATAACAGTTCAGAAAAAAGTGTTTCATAGATCTCCTAAGTTTTTCACATCATTTGAAATTATCCAAAACAATCATTTCTATTTTCTGACTCAAACTTTAAAAAGATTATAACGAGCTATGTCATTGAACAACCATTTTTTGCCCTCCGTTTCATCTTTTCAATAAATAGCGCACATTCAGCCTAATAGCCCAATGATATCGCCCTTCAGTCCAATGATATCGCAACCAATAGCGTACATTTAGAATTGCTTTTAATACCAGCAGTCAGATCATTTCGTTTAATCAGGATCATTTACTGCAACCTCATGAAGGAAATTCTGTCATTAGCAAATTTTTACTTCCAAAAAAAGAGGTACTTGATGGAAAAACAAAAACAAAAAAATATTAACCATTAATATCTGCAGCATTTCGTACAATTCCTTCGTCACCTTCACCGTCAACCATTGCTATTTGTGGGAATCCATACGTATCAATAAATGGTTTACGCTTAACGTCAATCGATTAGTGCTTTCCAACTGGAACCAAAAAACAGTAATGTAAGTGTAAACATATCTCTATACAGACATTTTAATTATCGACAGCCGAATGCGACCTACACCTTCTCATTCCAATCACATACAAATACAGACTGTATTACCGATAGATCGGCACTTTCCTTTTCTTTCCTACATACATCATGTGAAACACTTCATCCCACTTCTGGTAACCAGTAGCGTTAGGTTATAATGATATTTTTCGCTATGTTTATATGAATTTTGTTTCATTCAATCATGGCAGTAATTGCTATAATTTGTCGCTGTGTGATGCGTAACCGGTCTGTATCTTATTGAATGTGGAACGTGCGTGAGAGAATAATAATGAGTGTTGGGTATAATGTATCTTTCACCAAATTGCAACTTCAAATGATAGCACAAAATATCCCAATGCAAAATGATACCGTCAAGTGACAAATTGCAAAAGAAAGCACAGTAGCATGATTGGTATAAGCGGTATGAAGAGAACTATTAGATGTCAGTGATATCACAACATATCCAAACTGTAGGTAATCCAGTTCTCATTTTTTCGACATTGAGCTAACATATCTAGTATTCCTGAACAGTATACCACAAAGTGACTTATTTTGATCGAATCTGTGAGGGAATGAATGAAAGATAGATACTGTACTTATTATTTATATTCTGCTGATAAGAAATCATCAGGATTAAAAATAATATCCCAATGTACAAATTAGCACAAAATATCCCAATGGAATGCAAATTTTATGGCACATATAGGAATCAAATGACGCATAAAATGGTGAGAGTATTAATGGAATCAATATGAATGAGAATTCGTTGTACAATGATTTGCTCGAAGATAGGATGGATGAATTTGATCATTGATATTCCTTCATACCTGAGGCTTTTGAACAGGTGATTTCCTGGAAAAACAGATCGGAAGTATATCTAATGTTCATTGAAAACTTCATCTTCCTATATAAAATATTTTGCGAAGCAGATTGTAATTTAACTCATTTTACAATTGAAATATTAAAAATTATATGATATCTTTAAAATTAAAATAAGCCAATGTTATAACTAAATCGAGACCAGAATAATCTAATGTTATGAATAAATCAGAAATAGAATTAGTAAGTATAGTAAGTATAATTAATAAATATAAATAGAATTAGTAAGTAAGTATACCTCATATTGTTCAATAAATTCATTCTTCTACACTGTTTACAACGATATATTTGTCGTTGAAGTATTAGTTATCAATTCCGAACAATTTGTTAAACATGCAACGTACAATGGTAAAATTCTACCATTTTGAACAATCATTAATGCTATTATCAGTTGCTTTCGTAAAGTGTCATTAAAATTTTTGGGCAACATTGTAAATCCATAATAATAATAATAATAACTTTTCTCCCTCATATTTCATTGATGATTTTTGGTCGTTCTGTACAAATATATGTTAAGAATTATTATGGGTAAAAAATTGAATGAGACTATCAATAATCTTCCCATTCATTGATTTGATGTTGAATGTTTTGGGATGTTGCACCGTTGTTATTTACATAATAGTGATGATATGTAATAAAGGAGGCAATGAAGAAGAATAAATGATACCGAAAGGTAAGAGGACAGGTAAGATAAAGCCCGATGAACTAAATTAAATGATTTTCATTTAATTTTTTCGTATTTATTTCTCATGCAAATGGCACCTTCTTTTTCCGTGCTTCATTATATTTTAATTTCGTTTGAATTTGTGAAATTTTTTTGTTATCATTATTTTTCCATTCCAAATGTCACTTTGTTGATATCATGTAATTCTTAATCATTTCATTTCATTTCGTTAATTTCGGTATTGAGCTTTTTAATGAATATACTAATGTTTTCATTTTCTTCTTCTTCTTCTTCTTCTTCTTCTTCAGTTTTATATACCTTTCTAAAATTGTACTTTACATTAAAAATGAAATGCTTTAGTTATTCTTTTCCAGAAATGCTTTTTGTTGTGAAATGTTGAAAAATTTAAATGAATCTTTAACTTTTAATCAATCAAATCAGTTGATAAAAAAAAAAAACGGTTCCTCTTCAAAATTTAATTAATTTATTTAATTGGCTGACCTTCGTTACTCTTTCTTTCTTTCTTTTCTCCTTTATTCACATTCGCATAATTCATTTGGAAAGAAAAAACAAAACTTACCATTACTCATTTGTTTTTTCCCAAATTATATTTTTTGACATCGATATATACTTGTTGAACATTTCCATAAATTTACACCTACGTATTTTAAGACATTTTGATAGTTTAATTTTTTTTTCTGAAGCAGTTCATTAACATCGGTGATTGGAGAGGATGGCGTATGATTCAGTATTGTTGGTGAATTTCAAATTCATTGTACTTTTGCAAATATAGTATCGCGATGATACCCTTATTCATTTTTCATTCCACTAAGCAAATACTTACACATAAACAACATCATTTTGATGAGAAAAATGATCCTTCTTGTGGTATTAATTATTAAACAATTATATTTGAAATTTTTACATCACTTGAATAATTAATTAATTAATGCTTTCTTATTTTGCTTTCATTTTTTTTTCTTCAAATAATATATCAATAAAATAAACTTAAATGACCAAAAGATCAATATCAGTAATAATTCTATGTGATAATTGACAACTCTCAATGATCGGAAATGACCAAATATGGTCAGTAGCAAGAATTTGTAAATCATCGCTCCTTCTCTCTTCTAATAAATATTTCATTATATATATATATATATACATATATAATTAGCATATTTTCTTATCAATTTATATAAATCATATATAGATATTTATGTTATTGGTAAAATTATAAAAATTTAAAAAGACGTAATTGAACGGAAAAAAGTAAGCAATTAATTAATTAATTAATTAATGATACAATTTTTCAATTTGTAACAATATTAAATGAGAATGAAAAATTGATGGTAAAAAAAGAAAGAAAGAAGCCAAGTAAACATCTGAAAAGTGTGAGATTTGTTTGTTTCAAAAAAGTAAAAAGAAAGTGAAATAGGTAATTCATATTGTTGACAGTATAAAAAGCAATCATTTCACCTTTCCATTTTTTTCTTCTTCTTTCTCTTACCTCTTCATTTCTTTTTCTATTTAAACTAGAATTTGGTTCAATTTTCTTCCAATCAATCTGTCAACTACCCTTATATATATTACCACTTCTCTTCTTTTGTAAATAGGAAAAACATTACACAAAAGCTAATGATTGCTTTTGGAAGCTTAAACATTGATTAACTTTTAAAATTTAATATATTAGATATGAATTTTTTTTTTTAATTATTTATTCGCTTTGTCAATTTTTATTCATCTTTTCGACAGGAAAATTTCTTCTTTTAATTGTATTAATTATTGTCATTAATAATTTACCTTTAATTTAGAAATAAAAAAAAAAAACCAAAATTAATTATTTTCAAAAATTATAAAAGGTGGAAGGAAGTAAACGAATCTTTTTTTGAGAATTAGAAAGGAAAAAAAGAAAAAACACGCTTTTGATTTCTTTCATAAAATTCCAAAAAATGGGATGGTTATTTTTGATTATTTTCAAAAGTAAGAAAGAGATGAAGAAAGTGAGAGAAAGGAAAAGAGAGGAGAGAAAGAGAAAGAGAGAGAGGGAGAGAGAGAAGAGAAAAGCAGAGGAGAGAGAAAGGGTTACTTGAAAATTTAGAATAATAATAATATAAGGGAATAAGGGAATAATAATGATAATAATAATAATAATAATAACAATAATAATAATAATAATAATAATAATAATAATAATAATCATCATCATCAAATATTTCCTCTCATTGTACAATACAATTTACAAATTTATTTAATCATATAAATGTTCTTTTCCTCAATATTTGTATTTCTCTCATAAATTCAGCTTTTATGAGTTATCAGAAAAATTATTTTTTTCACTTTTCTCTTAAAGTTAAATTTCCCCTAACATTTCAGATTAGAAATTAAAATTAAATTAAATATTATAATTTATTTTGATTGTTTTAGTTTAAATATAAATTTAAATTTATAGCTTTATCTTATGCTATCATTAAATTAATAATAGCTTTTTCATTTATTATTATAACTAATTATCTTTCGGTTAAAATTAATATTTTAACTTGTAGCTTTTTCATCAGCTTCAATTAATAGGAAAATATAATAAGGGAAAGAAATGAAGAAAGAATATATTGTCTATTGTGAAATTAAATCAGTACTTAAGGATTGATTAATCGAAGGACAACGGGAATTCTGAACAGATTTAATACAACGATGACAAATTGTAAAAAACGGTTGACAAAATTCATTGGCTGTCATTAAGAAAAGAAAAAATACGAAGAAAATTATTCCCAATAAAAATTAGAAAAAATTGAAAATCTAAAAATTTTGCCTTCAGAAAATGATGGGAAATGAGAAAATTGAGGACAAAACAAACGCAAACATACACATATGCATGCATACTGCATACATGCACACACACACACACACACATATATAGCATGCACACATACACACACATACACACATACATACATACATACACACACACATATATATATACACTGTTTTTCACTACTGTTTTAGATTTCTCTTTAAAAGAAAAAATGAACTATTATTAATGATTGAAATTTTCGACATAGAATTGAAAAAGGTGAGTTAATCGTGGAGCGGTAATATCATTAGTAGCCTCAATAGAAGCCATCATAAAATGTGATTTACAGGGATGACTGTTCAGTATAACTTGGATGTGTCAACTTCTCGACCTTGGACATTATTCAAACTTTTATTCCGATGGCGTGGGAGTATATGGAAATCGATAACTCTTGAATTATTTGTTTGGCTGGTATTATTTGCAGTAATATCAGTGATATATCGTGTTGCTTTAACCAGTGAACAAGTTAGGTACATCACATATAAATCCTACGTGTCTTTCAACAAAAATAACCATATGAAATTTTTATTCTTAATTTTAAATCTTTCAAAAAGATGCATGCATATGTTTTGGGAAATAAATGAATATTAGACTTTAAAAATTAAGTGCAAATGATATGTTGAAATATTCATATTATATTATGCAATGGAAGGATAGCTTTCCTTCAAAAAATTCAACTTAATTTAAGCATTTTAATACAATACAGTAGTAACAAGAAAAGTTAACTGTTAATTAATGTGATAAAAAAATGATGAATATATGATTCAGGAAAGATACAGACTGAAAAGAGATATTATTGTCGTTTATAGGATAGTTTTAAGCATGAATGTTGAAATCTTTTGCAATCTATTAACTTCAAGTTGAAACTATTTTGAAATTATTAACATCAAATTGAAATTATTCTAAACTACTAACAACTTATGTGATTGATCATTCAAATTAAACAGAATAATTTTTGACAGCTATGGTTAACTATTTTTGTCTATGCGAAATAAGAAGAAAATTTAACCAATGCAAAAATTGCAAATAATATTTGTGAACTCATTAAAGTCATTACAATTCCAGTTATAATTCTATTTTCAAAATCTTATTCCTATATTGAATTTCGTTTATATTAACATTAACTATTTTAGCACATTCGAGCAGTTCGTATATTATTGTGATGAGAAATTGGATTACATTCCGTTGAATTTCATGCTTGGCTTCTTTGTCACATCCGTTCTGAATCGATGGATCAATTTTTTCGTAAATATTGGATACATTGATAAGTTGGTTTTTGGAATTCATTTATGTTAACAAGTTGGTTTTCTTTTTTTTGAATTCTTTTTTTAGTTCTGAAATTTACTTTTTATCTAACTTTCATTTTATTTTTTTCATCTTAAAAAAAGTCATAAATTTTAATTTTTGTATTTGCTAATTTCATTAATAAAATCAAGAGATTTTGAGCTTTTCATTAAAACTATGCTCATTGTAGATGAAATGAAAATTTGAGCAATTTTTTTGCAACATTATTAGTATTAATGTTAAATTTAAAAAAATTGTAATTAATAGGAAATCATTAGAATGTCTTGAGGAATTTGCATCCCATCAATAAGCTTTCCTGATATTGTGCTGAGCAGAATTCCGGAAAAAAGTTATTCATCTTGTTATCCAAGCAATTACTTCAAAGTTGAAAGAAGTAATTAAGTTTAGTGAACTTATTACTTTATAGTATAGCTTTATTGGTAGCAGCATATGTGAAGGGTTCAGATGAACGAGCACGAATGCTACGTCGAAATATCATTCGGTATTGCGTTCTATCGCAAGCGCTTGTTTTTCGTGATATCAGTATGCGAGTACGAAAACGGTTTCCAACGATCGAAGCATTGGTTGCTGCCGGTACTGTTTTTAGTTAAATCTGATGAAGTGATCAAAATTCAACACTTTCATCAAAATATGCATTCAACACTTATAAACCGTTTATTTTTTGAAGAATAGTCAAATTGCACAGCACATAATTTTTATTCCAAAGTTTAAAATTAGCTAATTTTCAATTATTTAAATATTTTCTATCTCCTATAAATTAATGCGGCATCGTTTGAAGAGTTAGAATGTAATGAAACTTAATTGAGCTTAACATTAAATTTAGCGAATTTTTGTAAGTAATAGAAGACAAAATACTGGAAATAATAGGTTTTATGATGAAACACGAAAAGGAAAAATATGATGCAATCCAATATCGTTATGCCAAATATTGGATGCCATTCCAATGGGCATTATCACTTTGTCAGGAAGCGCGAAATCAGCAAAAAATTTCCAGCGATATTTTACTTGAAAAAGTTGGTGAAGTAAGTGATTCGTTTTTCTTGAATGACTTTTAAGAATTAATAAAAAATTATCCAATTGTTTTAAAAATTACATAAATGGCTTAACATGAAAAACAATTTGGTAAACTTTAATAATTTTCTATGCATTTATCAGTAATAAATTAGTAAATTTCATCTTTTTTCATTATGTTGAATTGGCATTTTCAGGAAATTAAAGTATTTCGTACAAATTTGGCAATTTTATGTAACTTTGATTGGGTACCATTGCCAATTATGTATCCGCAATTAATCGTCTTAGCTGTTCATACATATTTCCTCGTTGGTGCTATTGCCAGACAATATGTTATGAGTGAAAAAGCACGAAACAAATCAACGGTTAATATCTTTTGATCAAAATTTATTTTAAAGTTAATTTCTGACTATAAAATATGTCAAATTTTTAAATTTTATTTTTATTGCCGATATTGAAAGCCATTCATTCTAAGAAACAATTCTTTCATTTCTAATAACGAAAAATTTGAATTTCTTATAACTGTTCCTGATTTTTAAGTATTTTTATCATTATAACTACTCTATGATTTTATTACAATAAGCTTTTCGGTAACAGGCCTAATTGTAAATCTGATGTATCAAAGCAACAGTTTCCAAAACATTCCTGCAAAGTGAGGGTCCTGAAATCTTTCACCTTTAAGCAATGTATTGCTTTATTAATCATTAGCTTACTAAAAAATCTAAAATTCCATTTTCTTTATTTTTTACCTAATCGTAAAATATTCCGTTACAGTTGGATATCTACTTTCCGGTTATGACCATTATTCAGTTTATTTTCTATATGGGATGGTTGAAAGTAGCAGAAGCAATGTTGAATCCGTTCGGTGAAGATGATGACGATTTTGAATGCAATTTTCTTCTCGACAAAAATCTTAGCGTGATCCTTTTCTGTCATTTCCTTAAGGAGGACAAAATTAAGTCAACAAAAAAATATATATATATATATATATGATTAAAGGGACAAATGAGCATGAAAAGTGTAATGGATAATTTAAAACGATTTAAAAAGAAATCGTGATGAGCATTATCACCTAATTTTTTTTAGGTAGGCCTGACAATCGTCGATGATGGATGCAACAAGACACCGGCATTACTCAAGGATGTTTTTTGGAGCGAAACCGAAATTGAACCATTATATTCAGCAGAATCAGCTCGTGGAGAATATCGACTTTCCGGTTTGACAGGTTCAACCGCAAACATTCGGTACAGATTTTATTTTTTAAAAAGATTTGTTCTTCATTAAATTTGTTTATAAATAATATCTTCTGGATGAATTAGAAATTTCAAAAAGCGAAAAGTTTTACCCTTTCTTAGTTACTACTTCTATTGCATGTAAATTTCTTTAGATTAGATGATCAAAACAAAAAAATTAAAATGTTGCCTTTATCACGAGAAGTCGATAATCATCATTCAATTTCGGGATTCTTACGAAATTCGATGCGACATAGTCTACGTGGAGGGAAGTAAGTAAACATTGATCATTATATATAGTAAAAAATTGATATTATGATAATATAAATAAAAAGTAGTAATTGTAATAACGAAAAATTATCTCATGAAGCAATAAAACTGTCAAGCAATGATAAAATATTTCAATTAATTAATTCCATGGCTGTTCCATTAAAATTTTAACTCAATTAATTAATTCCATAGCTGTTCCATTTTAATTTCATATACTAATTATAAGTTCAAAAAAAGTCAGCAAAAAAATAAATAGCTACAACAACTCCGATGAACGAATATGGAGTGATTTCTTTTTTCCAATCGCAAGAGATTTAAATTTTAGAACTGATCATCATGGTGGTATTATGAATATTGTTCGTCAAAAATTTGGTAGGTAAGGTAATTATTGCGCATGAAAATTTATTTAATTAATTTAAATTATTTTATATTTATTTCTAAGAAATATGGTGCTTGTTTGCTTGGAAATTTTTTATCTTTCGAAATATTTCCTTAAATTACAATAAAAAATAAATGGATGAATATGAAATATTATTAGTTCCTTATTAATAAAAGAACTTGAAAAAGTTCTTACGACATTATTGTTCGAGACACTAGCAATTCTTAATTGCTGATGTCCTTCTTTTCCTTATTTTACAACAAATTAACAAATGAAGAAGAAATATTATCAATTCTTTATTAGTGTTATCCATTGTTTACTGATATTTAACCAATAGTGTTGTGCAAAAATATCTTATCGCATACATTAATGTTAAGGTTATATTCTAATTCTAGGTCATTAAGCCATACTCATTTCAATATGGATCAAAATGCTGATGATTTCGGTTGTAAGGCAAATCAAAGTGTGAACGAATTATCAGGTTTGGAAAAAGGTTATTCAAAATGGATGGGTAACAGTGAAAGCCGCCGAAGTAGCTTAAACCGTGTGTTGGAAACTATTATCAATGAATCTTATGATAATCCAAATGTTAACTTGTCAGGTAAATAAACTTTTCCAGTATGATATGAAAAAGTGGGGTCATCCTCAAATTTTAACCTCAACGATGAATATCAGTATTATATTTGAATAAAATTATAATTAAATATGATGAAAAGAGAAAAAAAGGGAGCTAAATTTCAAATTGTAAAATTATTTCTGGTTGTAAAATTTTAAAAATTTTCGTTTACACTTGATAGATATTTCTTTCCTAAGCTTGAAAACTTTAGCAAAATGTTTAGACGAGGACTTACCGCTAACGTTGAAACATTTATCAATTAGCACAACTGGTGATGGTCGACATTCGGGCCATCCTACATTGTCACAAACGTCAGTGTTACATAAACTGGAAGATTTGGAAGAGGAAACAGAAGAAGCTATGGGTAGAAAAAATACCATCGTAGAAAATACTTCAACTGTTGCTAAGAATGATTCGATGGATAACGCAAAATTACGAAATGAAGACGTACAAATTGGAGGTTTCGATACTTCATTGCAAACAATAACTCGACGACGAAGTGTTCCATCAAATGATGTAAATTCTGGTAGCATTCTGATGGCTCTCTATAGGCAGAAATCATATCCTGAAATTAAATTAGGAAATAAATCATCATTTACGTAATTAACTTTGAATAAAATTTAAAGTAAAATTTTTTGAAATAACGCAAAATTCTATATAAACCATTCAAACATTATGCATAACTGTAAGTAATTCATTGAATTTAACGTACTCTGAAATTTTGGCTGAAAGTTTTATGCTTACGTTGTAAATTGCATTATATTATTGTTTTAGCACTTGCTGTATTACTTATTATTACATTATTATATTAAAATAAACAAAAGGTAATTCGAATTTCCTTCAAATCATACGAATAAATAATGTTTTTATGGGAACAGAAAAGTGAGTTAATTAGTGAAATCGACCAAAGCCAAGTGCTACTTCTTGTAGTTTCAATGTTTTTTTTTTTATCTCGTAATTTATATAACAAAATAACAATTATCTTAATTAATTAAGGAAGAAAAGGGGATAAGGTCAATGTGACTGAAAAAAGAAAAAACTAATTATAAACCGAAATTGCTATGGTAGTAAACAATAATAATTTTATTATATTTATTTTGAAATTTATTTAACTTCTCGAATTTGTTTTAACTCAAATAATCTGATCAAATGAAAGAATAAATTGCAAATATCTTTGAATAAGAAATTATTAACATAATTTTAACTTAATTTTATTTTTTCAATTTTTTCCTTTTTTGTTTTAAATAAAAACAATTGATAAAATTTGCTAATCGTTAATTTTTTTTTGTAAGCTCTTCTTCTATTTTCCTATTTTTATATTGTCGAATTTATTCATTCTCGTAAATATTTCCTCATATTTTAATATTACTTTTTACCTTCATATATAATTAAAAATATTTACCTTGTCCAGATTGTTGTCATCCATTATATTACTATCACTTTTGCACCGTTATATACCTTTCTTTTACATGATATCCCCAGAATAAATAACTTGGTCATTTGTTTTCATTATTTTTTTATTAAGGATCGGAAAGCCGATCTCATAATTAATGGACGTGTGGATGATGTCATGCGGATGCTGATG